ATGCAGCCCATCGTTTTAATTGACCAGGTATCAAATAATGTTTCCGCTGCATTTGTTCCTCAGAATTGATAAACATACTGCTCGTTATTTTTCAATCAATGGAGCTTCTTAAGTCAAAGCAGGGAAGCAGAGTAATACGCTTATCACCGTTTATTATACTGAAGCATAACACAAGCATGAACATAATCTACTGGAGCATGGTCTTGCGAGTCGTTGAAAGAGGAATTAATTATTGAGAATACTCTTTCTGAAACAGCAAATGAGGATTGTACTACGAGAACCTTCATGACTGCAGACGACAAATGTGGCAATCGATCTGAGGGTTGTCACCACCACTTCACTTTGTCTTCTTCGCGGACCATCGTGACGTTATGGGCCGCAGTAACATAGTGATTAAGCCGTTTATTACATGGTTACTGTCCACAAACCGTATCAAGAAATGGTCCATTGTTCCGGCTCAACTTTTGTATTAAGCATCGAACAAAAATCCTGAGTAATTGGTAGTCCTGAGGGACTTTGGCCGAAGGGAGGCGGAAAAGCTCGCAATTGATCGAGAAAATTATCGGAGTGACAATTTTGCTACATTGGGAGAGTGGTTAGTGTAAATATACACTGATAAAATCAGTCTCCATCGGCGTACCCAAGGGTAGACTTAACCCTCGATGAGTGCATTGAATGCCGAAAATTTTTCTCATCGAGGAAGTAAAAAGGTAGATTATGCCAGCGGGCTTTTCTTTGAAAAAAAAGTTAAGAATTATGCTCGTTTTGCCAAATTATTCTCAAAATTATGCTGGCACAATCGACTCAAGCTTATGTAGGAGTGCTTTAAAATCTCCCAGCTCTGAATTTTCTGTTGCAAATTATATTGTTTAAGAAAACTAAAAAGTTGTTCTAACTCGACATATCAATGGTGCTACAAGCTTCTGAACTTACGGTATTTTTCATGGACCTTACAACACCTAAAACTGAGTAAATTGAAGGGCGTGTTTCAAGCTCTCCCTTAATAGTTTCCTACAAGATTTACTATTCAAAACACAGAGGAAGAGTTCCAGATTTTGTTGATAATAAAAACAGACACAAAAATGGGCAAGCAAAGGTAACCCAGAAATTGAAAGTTGCTCTTGGTCAGCCTCATTTCCATGTCCCATAGGGGCTCTAAGTGGCTGTGAACCTCAATTTCCCAAGTAAAATAAATTTCAATCCTAAAATATCCATTTCGTGTTAGCACCCCTAACCAAGTTTATATGCAAAATTGGAGCCAAGTCAGTGAACCTGCCTGTCCGAACTGGTCCGATATTTACATAACACTTTATCTATCGCTCTGAAGGTAAGATATTCTCGCTTTCATATCTAAAAATGACGAATTAGAGCAATTAGTCTGAAACTAATTTATGTATGTCCTCTGACCTCTAGTCGCGCTTAAAACTCGTTAGCGACAGAACTCACTTCCGGTGTGGAAACACTTCCGGTGTCGTAAAACGTTAGTCGTTTATTAATAAAAGGTGGCCGGCTGCCCCAGAAGTTCGCCGAAACCACAACATATTTTTATTTTCTTATACTCCCTTACCCTATTTTAGTTAGTCTGAATAAAAATATCACGGGGAAGAAGTTAGACTTTTGTGCTGAAGGATCACAAAAATTGCATACTTACCGTCATTGGGGCAATGGCAAAGTAGGTGTCAAACTGAAAAATAATTCTCAATTTAAAAAACCATTAGAAAATAAAAAAACTATGCGACATGAATTCATGAAAGATCCATCTAAATATGCGAAGCAAAAAATATTCCAAGAGTTTTTAGAAATGACGAGCACGGCAATTTGTACCATTTTTAATGATTGGTGCTGCTAAAAATAACCGTTTTAGCGCTAGGCGCTAAATTTATTAATATTTTAATGTTTAATATTTTGAAAAACCAAGGTGTCCTCAATTACTTTTAGAGTAAGACGGATTAAAGGGTCAAAGTTTGAAAGCAATCGAACCAAGATGTACTGGGCTGATTTTAGAGATACTGCGTCTTAATTACATAAAAAGAGATACGTATTTTGACTTGTTATTCTCACGCAGTTAACTCATGATACCTAGCATTCGTACCAGGTTTGAGCTAAATTGGTGGTTTGAGTATTCGTATTCCTCCGGCCTCATTCTGCCTGATTTTCTGAAAGATACTCTCTCACCCTCCTGTTATTGAGAAGAACGGTTAGCTTATATTAGAGGTGTCGATACCATCTAAGGGTTGAAGAAAGCCGTGTTCGAGGCTTTTCGTAAATACAAAACCTTGCATAACAGCTACTTTCTATCTGGGATCTGTGGCGCCACCTTTACTCGACAGAACTCACTCTTGACAGAGACTATTGCAGTTTCGCCAAGCATGGGTATAACAACAGCCTAATTTTGTTTTTTATTCTGTGCGATTTGGTTGAGGCCTTAAGGCTGCCTTACAGTTTCCTCGTTGAGAATTATTTTCCTTCACTTTTTGAACATCTATCTTGGTGCTGAACT